AAGTTATTCAAAAAAATTACTAGATAGGGGAATGCCTGTATTCATTGTGCGAGGTCAAACTGTTTGTATCCGATGGGCTTCAGAAATATCTGCGTCCTTTGGAGTGACCAATTAGGTTCGACAAGGAAGCATTCTTTCGCCGACGTTATTTTCAATTTATATTGATGATCTCAGTACTAGGCTGCAACAAGCGGGTGTTGGATGTCATTTAGCTGGTAAAATAATGAATCATCTTTTTTATGCTGATGATATTTTGTTAGTTTCACCTTCTGTCATATCATTGAAAAAGCTCGTTGAGATCTGCGAGTGTTATGGTGAGGAGTTTGACATTCTTTTCCATACTACTAAGAGAGAATGCATGTCATTCTTTCCAAAAACGTGGGGACAAACAAGGGTCCCAAACGTGTACTTGTATGGTAAACCTCTGGTTTTCGTCTCAGTGAAAAAAGTACCTGGGCTATATGGTGTCATCAGATGGCAAGGATGAAGCTGATATGAAGCGACAATTGCGGTGTATTTATGCTAGGGCAAATTTTATTTTACGAAAATATATAAAAAGTTCAGATTACGTTAAGTGCATGTTATTTAGAACGTATTTATACAGTATCTATTGTTTGAATGTTTGGTGTGATTATCGTACACAAATTGTGAATACTGTGCGAGTGGCTTATAATAACGCTATAAGATTGGTCTTTAGCCTTAAACGGGCTAGCAGCGCCAGTGGTAATTGCGTGAATAGAAATATTTTGAACTTTGAATCTCTTCAGCGCAAGGAATTAAATAACTTCAGTCAGCGCCTACTTACGAGCGATAATGCTTTAATTCGTACTTGTGTCAACTCTGACAGTTTTTTCTTATCCAAATTTTGGACTAATCTTGGACGTTGTATTTATTAGTGTTGGTGTTTGTTATGTATTTAATATGGGACTTTTTTGGCCTGAAATAAAGGATTAATAATAATAAATAAACAAATTACAGCAAGTCTCAGAAGCATCAGGGCAGCCAATTTGCAAACTCGCTAGCGAATTAGCTAGCTGCTTGGGTTTTGACTAAACAGTTGGCTTTCGAATTTCGCTGGCGCCGGTTTGTGATCGCGCTCATTCTGGGCGAGCCTATATTGCAATAGGAGACATAGAATGCTTTTACGGAGCCAGATACATGTTTGGATTCCCCTGAATGATTTGCTTTGCAAGGCGTAATAATGTATAAGTAGTTTTCCTGGTAAGTCTGAGAATAGCCACAGTCAGCTAACATACAAGTAATAACATGATAAGCGATTAATCCACCGATATTTACTATATATATGGGGTAGCCATCTTGAACACTGATTGAAACTAAATAAAGAGACAAGTTGAGAAACAGATTCCTACAAATCAGGGAGAAAACAAACTTGCACGTCCAAATGATTCGTTGAGGTAACATTAAGCCAACCGCTAATAAAAAATTCGACATCACTTCATTACACGAAGAACACAGAACACTTTCCCTGGTATATTTGAAAGCGAAATCGCCATCCAACTGTAAGGTCGTCGCTGACTAGCTTCTAAAGTATGACGACCGTTCCTACTTGGCTCCCTACTGTTATATAGATTCATCCAAAGTGGGCGTGACCACAAGACGACGCCAGCGAAATTCGAAAGCCAACCGTTTAGTCAAAACCAAAGCAGTTAGCCAATTCGCAAGCGAGTTTGCAAATTTGCTGGCCCAATATTTCTGGGACTTGCTGTAACAATATTATTATGCAAAGAAATGAGATTAGCACATTCCTAAACTTTCTATGTTTAGCAATACATTCGAATACATTCTAAGCACTATTCTATGGTCTCTGCAATAACTATGTCATTATGCAAATTACTACACATCTCTTCTATGTTATCATTACAGAGCCATTGCTCGAAACGTCTAGCTATTTTTAATAGTTACCTCGGACAACCATTACCAAATATTATATACTATATATATATATCAATTATTGCACGCATTGTTTTATCATCTCATTCATTTCACTACATGTATCTGATAATATAGTTTGTAGCTATGAAGCTTATGCCATTTTTTGTGCAGTTGGTGTAAATGGTGCCACCATTTCCTGTATAATGACTGACATAGCCACTACTATATTTTACACGCCAGTAATATAATAGAGGAGTCTTGTGAATATGATAATTATTATGAAAGTCTACTTTCTAAAAAATTTTTTAGATTCTGATGTATATGGCATTCTAACAAAACTATTTTGCCGCAAATTACCTTATTAATTTGCATTAACATAACTGGTTTGATATATGCTGTTAAAAAACAAGTTTTATTATAATCCAAAATTTATTTTTTTATATATTTCTGGAATATGTGCACACTGCTACACATAACCATAGCAACCTACATGTACACACAATTACATTGTCAGACACATGGGTTGTAAGCAAGACACCAACCATCCTAGTAACTATATCAAATTTATTAACCGAAGCCAAACACACTGTTTTTGGAAATAACTTGTATGGTACTGTAATTGTTGTCTGGTTGATGTAGCAATATGTAACCTAGCAATAAAAAAGAATATATAAAAAGAATATATTACTCATTCAAACGTCTACAACCTGTATTTCGTCTCAAACACGAGTGAGACTAGGAGTACCTCATATTGTTTGTTTTGTCAGTATTATAGACAGATGCTACAGTCATGACTGGCACTGTTCTCTGATTACACCATGGTGTAGATACACTACCAGTGAATTAACACATAGTTGTCATTGTTTTATAACATTGAGTTCAGATATCAACACTGTACATTGACGCAGAAAGGAAAATACTGAGTAATATTTGACATTACTAAATCAATTAAAATATATAAAGAAAAAGCCATTCTTCAGTATCAACATAACTAGCTGTTATGGTTACGCTGCTGGTTTCCATGCATAAAAACAAAGCTTCTCAACTTAAACACTAAAGAATTTAAAATATGTGATGTAATTTGAATGTTTATTAATTCACAGAATGGAACCTTGGACTCATAGCTCCCATTTTAAATACTGATTTGGTTTATTACGCAGTATGTTTGTGTACTCAGGAACTGAAGTGTCTAACTTCTCACAAATAGTTTTATCGAATGGCAGTTTCACTGTAGTAAATTTATTACTATGGTTGAGTTTTTCCATCATGCAGAAATCGTAAATCTGTCTATTCCGATATCTCAGATGCTCAACCTCTTGTGAAAAATCTTCTCCCTCTGCGTGGACTCGTTTCCAAAATGTTTTGTTGAAATGCTGATATAATGCATGGTCTGCAAAGTTCCATTCTCGCAGTTTGTCTCTTAGACCATTCGTCATCTCACTTCTATACTCTGAATGTATCTTCGCAGTGCTTAATTCATAGTAGATGACTTCATCAAGAGTCCAACACATCTGCCGTTTTAATAAGACCAGGGACTCTTCCATATAGTCGGAAATCATGACAAGCTTGAAATTATTCTCAATGTCTTTAATGAATGTCATTATCGCATCTTCGTCTTTAAAAAACTCTGGGTCAAACCCCAAATCATAAGCCATTGGATTTTGCAGGAGAAATCTGTCTGTGGATGTTACAGAGCTGACGTATTCGTCAGGTCTGTTCAAAAACTCATGAAGTGGGTCATTGGCATGTATCCCAAGCATTCTACCAAATCGATAGCTATTGAACAAAGCCTCAAAGTGGTGCCGGGGATTACGTAATATAGTGACGTAGGCAGTGTCTTTTGGCATTATTTTATCAAATTCACGACGATTATAAACCGCATGGTTGCACAGAATATTGTAATTGCCACTGGTGCTAGGCAACATATGGTTGGTATGGAAACAGTACGGCCATCCTGCTGAATCTGTGTTCTTCTCTTTGGGCAAAATGAAAGTTAGATTACGACTGTCACCAAATCTCTGAAAAAAAATAAGATACACATTTCAAAAAGTATCCCCTCTGTTATTTGATATTGAATATAAGTAATTGTCATAGCAACTATAGTGAATCCTAACTGCCCCTGAAATTGATACCACTGGCATTTTTCAAAGCAATATAAAGTATGCATTACACATACAGGTATTATGGTGAACAGCAAGTTGGAGTTTCTTTCGTGCAGCTAAAATTTTGACACCTTTGGTGCTATGCTTGCTTTAACTTTGTAACGAGAGACTGCTACTGCTAGATAGTTAAGTATACCTGCAAAATGTTGGCAATGACCGCACCACTAGCACTATGTACTTTAATAAACGCTATGTTGGTAGATTCTTCACATGGTTGATTAGAAACTGGTACCATTTCCCTGCAGAAAGCAAAGAGATGCAGAATACATAAAACTACGCTGTTGGTCCATATAAAACCGTTAAATGTATATATTAGTCGAATATGGTTTATAACAACCCTTTACAGAGCTCATCAAAGGGCAATCACGTAGCAATGCTTGCTGACCTGGTCGTGAATTGGCGAATACACGTGTACCAGCTTAGCAAGACATATTTCGTGCCACATCTAAAAAGCAAGACTGGGCTTATGATAACTGAATTTCCTTCATACAATGCAATTTAATATGTACTGTTTAACAGAGTTTATCATGTATATTAATTGAAATATACAAAGTACTAGTAGCACACTGGGGTTGGTCTACCGGGTATTCTGTTATAAATATATAAAGGTGTTTCATGTACATGTAATTGTGGCAGACAATGTTTTTCAGGAGCTACAAGTTCTAAAATACATGTAAACATAGCAAAATGTTGCTAGTATTAAATAAGATAATTTGAATAACAGAAAATGATTTGGGCCAATTCAGAAAAGACACTAACATGTTATACCTTTGTTTATAATTGTTTGCAATGTCAATATCGACGGCCATCGTTGAATCTTTCTCTTCCAAATTAAGCAGTGTACCATTGAGTACAATATAGACCAGTGTCCAAACTGTACACACAACAATCGCCACACCATAGAAGTACCTAACTCGTTTACAACGCATATTGTACTTGCAGCTGGCAAGATCTCTGGCAAACTTGAAGGCGAACATATTTACGATGATTGGGAGAGACCAGCGACTGCTTTAACAACACATTTTTCTGTACCACATACAGACGACAAAATTTGTCGTCACTGTTTTTATAGTGATTGATGTGTTAACAATCCTCTTCCTCCTTAATTTCCACTTCGATCTGGTTCGATCAGTAGCCTACTTGTCGTTGGCATGTGCGATGCCAAATATACTTATTTATCTGTCCTGGTTACACATCGACATGTACAAGGACATTGAGTACGTGACACACACATTGTCCCACCAGAAGTCTCAGCACTAGGAGAAACACTACCCAGGTTTGCCAGGAAACAGGATGATGAAAAGGAAGCAGTGAGCATGAAATCCTCTAAAGTAATAAATAGTTTATGTGACGTCATGGTTCTTTGAATTTATAACAGGTGAATGATTTTATGTGAATTATATATTGCCATAGTAACGATGAATATATAATTATATGATCCCAATTGTTTTCTAATATCAGAGTAACAGCCAATCAATGTCAGTTCCCAGAAATCCTGAAAATAAAACAGTAAATACATTCAGCAATAATAACCAAGATACAATTATTATGTGACTCAAAATGTTTCCAAAATTTGCAAATTATTGTTCAATTTGAATAACTAGAAACACATTGTTGGCCTTGGTATTTGTATTGACATGGAAAACTTTTTTGTGCATGGATTTCAGTGAAAGTATTTTGGATATTAATATGGATTCAAGCTTTTCAATCAGACTTATTTTCAAAGCTATGGCTTTAATATATAAACATATGGCTCATATTTCCCAGTCATACGTATTATAATACGAGAACAACGATCACTTGCATGGTAAATGAAACACAATTTGCAATATGGACGTTTTTTCCTGAAATCACAAAAATACAATCTAACCAAGAGATGAAAAAAAGATTAATTAAGCAGCAGAATGATATGATACTATTTTTTTTTAAATTACAACTTGTATTTTCGAATTCAGTCGCAATTATATTATTATATACAATGTATTTGTTATCTAAATAGCGATATTATATTGCGAAATAAAGTATCTCATATTACTATGCCAGTTTATTATTTTTAATAACATTACATGTTTATGCATAACTAAAAATCGTATGACAATCTACGCAAATAAATCACATGAAAAGAACTGTATTTGCTGTTATAAAATACCTTTATGAAAATGGTATAAAGTTGTGACATTTAAAACTCACCCAGGGAAGATATATATATGTTATTTAAAAATAACAGTATTATAACGTTATAAAATTACAATATAATAACGTTTAAAAAAACAAGCAACCTATCGGCTGAGATAGCTCCGCTGTTAGCAATGCACATTTCAATTAAAGAACTGAAGACATCATTAGAACATAGTTGAACTCTGGTGACCTTGCCCTTTGTTATATAATATAATTCCCTTTAACATAGTTTGTTTCAATATAAATATACATTGTCATAATTAATTTTGAATACAAAAAAGTTTTGGGGTTGAACTAACAGTGGGGAATCAGTCTACCGAATGTCCTTTAAA